TTCCCTACGCCATACTAAGAACCAGTCAGGTTTGTTTACATTCTGTTTGGCTGCTTCGAATGCTGTTGCAAACGTTTTTAGCTGCAAAAGAACGGTGACTTGTGGCGCAAAAAAAGCAACAGCCAAGCATTGAGGAATACAACACCATGGACTCGCGACATTCAGGTCATGAAGACCATGACTTTTCTTGCCCTTGAAACATCATGCGTTCCTTGGTTTCTGCTGATTTGTTACATGCAGATACTTCATTGTCTCAAAACCACCAAATGCAGCGCTGTCCTCCACCTTATGCCCAACGCCACGACTTCGGAATGGAACGCTTAAGCAGTGATGTACCTCAAAAGCCAACTATGCGCCACGACTTTTACCGCTTCCCGCACCTTAGACCCTTAACCCTAGACCCTTAACCCTGAACCCTAAACCCTGATCCCTAAACCCTGAACCCTAAGCCCTAGACCCCAAACCCTAAACTCTAAACCTAGGGGCCCTGATAGCCCAGGTCCTGGCCGTCAAACTCCACCGAGTCGGCCATGCGCGAAGAGTCCTGCCATAGTTCCAAGGTGGAAACCATAAATTATGGAATATTACAGTACATTATGGAATAGTATAGTAGTACATTATGGTATATCATAATATATTGTGATATATTATACTATATAGGGGTTACCAATTCTTGGTGCCGCAAAGTCTAAGGCTTTTTTCAACCCCGTCGGGCTTTTGCGTCTTAGCGCAGGGGTGTAGGGTTTAGGGATTAGGGTATAGGGATCAGGGTTCGGGTTGAGGGATTAGGGTTTAGGGTACGGTATGAGCCCTGAAGCCTGGGATCTGTACATACCTACTATGTGCCCTACATGTACCCCTAAAGGTCCCTAGAATCCCCCTAAAAGGTCTAAGGGCCCAGACTCTGGGCCCATGCTTCTGATCTTTGAATGGTCATGAACACAGGCGCAGCTCTTTATGGGTACGTCTTCTGAAAGGGATTACAAGGGTTATATGGTAGTTTCCCAAAATAGGGGGACCCCAATATAGACCCAAAAAGTGTAAAATCCTTATTATAAGGAGCCCCAAAAGGGTACCCCTAATTTTGGGAAACCCCCATATAGGGGTGTACAAGGCGTAACAGAGCAGAGTATACGGGCTCTATCGGGGCGTGAAGTTTAGAAACCTCAAAGCCTATCTATCCATATTCAATCCCCACATATCCCTATACATCCCTACAGAACACAACCTCTGTATAACCCCCATAAAACCTACACCCCCAGAACCTGAGTCTCCCCTGAAACCTTTCCAAGAATTTAGGGTGTGAAATAGGATTTAAACTTTAAAATAGGCAAAACTTGAACACTACTTTCAGGACATCCCCAGATCTGCATCTTCGGCTTGCATGTCGACAGAGACTCAAAATACGTCAACTTAGGTTTTTCCGCATGTGCAAGGTTGGTAATTTTCAAATTGTTGGTCCCATTCTAGATCCCATCCTAATATGGCCCCTAAGCTCTAAACCCTGAAAAGGGACCATAATCTTGACAGCTACCCCTTTGACTCAGCGACGTTCCATCCCACTTCAGCTTGCCTTGTTGCTGACCTTGGCTCATCTCGGGGTTTAGGGTTTACTGGGGCTTGGGGTTTCGGGTTTCGGGCCTGCCGGAGGTTCATGAATCCATGACAGGCACTCATTGAACACAGATTCAACTCGCTTTCTGAGCATGGATGAGAATGCAGCCCGCAATGGTGCCGAGACGAGAAATGGTAGCTTTCCGAATTAGATGGAACCCAACGTAGATCCCAAAATACTATACTTCTTCTTATAGTGGCCCCAAAAGAGTGGTTGGAAACCAATTCGCGCACCAAAAACGCAGATTCGCGCACCAAAAGGGCGGATTCGTGCACTACGCGAAACACGGGATTCGCGCACTACGCCCGGCAGATTCGCGCACTACCCCGTCGGATTCGCGCACCAAGGATTTGCGCACCAAAGATTCGCGCACTACCACGGACCGATTCGTGCACCAAAGGAACGCTGCTTCGCGCACCAAACGGACAGATTCGCGCACCAACTCTTAACCTTAAGCCCTTAACCAACCCTGAACCCTAAAGCCTAAACCCTAAACCAACCCTGAACCCCAAACCCTAAAGCCTAAACCCTAAGAAAGCCCTAAGCCCCAAACCAGCCCTAAACCCTGAACCCTAAGGCCTAAACCCTGACCCCTAAACCCTGAGCCCTAAAACAACCCAACCCTAAACTCTAAACTCTGAACCCTAAACCCTAAAGCCAAAGCCCGAAACCCTGAACCCAAAACCCTAAGCCACACTTCTGGTTTGTTGCAAAAGTCAGATCCTTCTGGTGCAGGAGTGGGCAGCTTTTGGTGCATGAATCGGCCCTTTTTGGTACTTGAATCGGGTCATTTTGGTGCGTGAATCGGTCTTGCGTAGTGCGTGAATCGTTGGTGCGTGAATCGGATAGTTCTTGAATCGTTGGTGCTTGAATCGTAGTGCGTGAATCGAGGTTGGTGCGTGAATCGTGCTTTTTCGCAAAAGGGTACCCAAAACAAGCAGCAGCTAGGTCGGTGGCGTGGTACCCCAGCACGCCATATTGGACCATGATCATCTCTTTCGCATCAGAGCCCAGTATGAAGACATCCTCAGATCAGGTTTGCGGGTTAGGGTTCAGATCTCGAAACGGAAGTGTCTTCGCTGTGGACTTATAACAAAGATCCTGTCTTAGGGGCATAGTTGAGGGGGTGGGGACTTGGATTGCGCTGGTTGCATCTGTAGGGGTATCTTTGTCACAGGTTCGTCCTTTCTGTCTGCGGGCACATCTGCATGGCTGGCCAATACGGGCTTGTCAGCTCATGGTCCTCATGCATTCCTACCCTGAAGCCCTTCAGATGAGATTCGTTACCCATTGGGGTAATATTGGGCAAATAGTTGCTGTAATTATACTGGGATACTGGAAAATACAATGGAAACTACTGTTTAGGGTCTAGGGTTTAGGGTTCAAGGTTTGGGGTGAGCTGTCTTTGACACACGTGCATCGGCCCACCCACACACACAGGCTCGCGAAGTTGTACTTGCATGCCGGGCTTCCGATTGGGGACCCTGGCTCTCGCTACAAGGAAGCTTGCATTGTTGAGTGCACCTAGAATAATGTCGACCCATGATTCATTAAGCCCCTCCTTCTAATGGCCTTAATATTCGGATACCTATCATAATCACAATTAACGGGAGGGGGTTTATTAATAAGGGGTCTACATTATCCCACACAGGCCCTCTGAAACACCCGCGGACCTTACGCGATGGAAGCTCTCTTCCATCTACCTAAAACCCGACACCTGTATAATGCATATGCCTAAAACCCTAAACCCTTAACCCTAAACCCTGAACCCTGAACCCTAAACCCTAAACCATGTCTGCAACATTATGAGCTCCCTGCAGCCATGAAGCTTGTGAGGAGAGGGCTGATCTCTCATGCATGGACACATGGCACACCTGGCATGAGGGTTTAGGGTTTAGGGTTTAGGGTAGAGTTCTGGGTTGTTGGTTTAGGGTTTTAGGCTTAAGGCTAGGGTGCAGGGTTCAGCGCTCCCGTTTGAAACCCTGAAATCACGAGCTTCGGACTTAGGACAATCCTACCTCACAGTCAACTAAGGCCCCCCAACTTAGATTAGACTACAAGGGGCATCGCTTGCAGACAGAGAGCTTCTTTCTCTTGTGAGCGTCGTCACAATGTCACAACAAGGATGCCGGAGATTTGGCGGCCAAAAAACAGAAACTAGAATGTCACCAAACATTGCTCAATTCGAAACAGCACCCTGGTGCCCGTCCAGTCTCAGAACTCCACAGCAAGTTTCTCACAATAGCCCGTATGGAACTCTAGAAAGGAAACCCAATAAACCTTTTGAAATTCCTGCATACTCCCGATTTCTTTCAAAAGGTACCCCTTCATTGAGAGATTCCCACATGTCCTATGGTCTAAACTCCTAGTATCCCCCCTTGATAACTTATAGTCATTCCCTATATAATCCCCTATATAACCCTTTTAAGGAGTTTAGACTTTAGCTCATATGTCCATGCAAATCTTCAGTGCCTTGCGCAGGAAGCGGTACTCTTGGTTGTGGCCTGGTTGCGCCCCACTTCCGAGGAGCTGACAACTTGAGGGTGCGCCCACTAGGGACTGTCTAAAGAACACTTGAAGCCTAGCCCGTGCTTTCTTGATTTGGTAGTTTCCCAAAATAGGGGGACCCTAATATAGACCCCAAAATACTATAGCCCTTATTACGGGGAACCCCAAAATGGTACCCCTAATTTTGGGAAACCAACCATTTGTATCTGCTCCTTACCCTGAAGGGCAGGCACAGCAAGAAAGGTGCCTTCCCCTCGCGGAAAGAAGCAAACGGACGTCATGGACAAAGGTTAAAAAAAAAGTGTGCAGGGGCTTTCAGAGCTGGGAACTCCTATAGGGATTCTCTAGGGGATATATGGGGATTCTATAGGGGATATACAAAGATAATATAGGGGATATATAGGGTAATATAGGGGATATAAATCAAGTTGGTTTATGTTTAGGTTTGCCAGGGCAGAGGCCTTGGTCCTTGTTTCAATTTGAACCAGAACTTATGGAGGTCCTTGCATCCAATCCGGCAAAGGGAGGTTTTGACGCAGAAGATTCAGTCATTCAAGCCCACTGCGGAAACGCGCTCGCCTCAGTTGCTTCCGAACCCTGCGACGCCCAGCCGCAGTTTTATAGCAAGATGACAAGTGGTCGTACAGTATAACTAGTAAGAACAAGAAGCAAAAGGACAATTGCAAGCGAAATGGAACTTCTGGGTATGCCTAAAATCCTTCTCCTGCCGGGCAATCTTTGACAAGGCGAGAGATCTCGTGATGCCTATGTTGAGAACCTCCGTTGTAACCATGGAGGTCTGAGTTGGCCTTGCCAAGTTCTGTCAAATAAAGAGGGAAAACATCTTGATGCGTAGCATTTGGAGTTGCCAAGGTGCACCACGCCGGAAGAAAGGGTGCGATGCTCAGGAGCGGCATGAAGATCTCCTTGGATTGTGTTGCACCGCTTCTCGTGGACATTTCTGAAAGTTTCGCTACTTGACGTATACTGTCAAAGGAAACCAGGGATTCTATGGGGCCTCTTTGTCATGTGTAAGGTTCCACGGAAGTAAGAGTAATCCCCTCCCCTAAGATTAAACCCTGGACCCTCCAATAAGATATTCCCTCCCTCTCTTTCTCTCTATATATGTGTATATTAAAATGAATAAATATATATATATACACACCGTAATATATCACAACGGGAATATCCAATATTAGGGAGGGGTTTGGGGAAAGTTGAACACAAGGGGGGGATTAAACAACTTGAAGCTTAACTCCAGCGAACTGGCACCCGCACCTCGTGCAGGCGTCGCTTCAAGGACTCGGGGATCTCTTTGAGAAGCCCAACCTGCACCAGCTTCTTCCTACTGCTTACTGGGGGTAAGCAGGGAATAAAGGAATACATTTTAAACGGAATAATCCCGTAGTCCCTACTAACCACCAGTAAGACTGCTGCATCTTCACTGGACTCCAGCTCAAGCTTAATGCGTCCTGAGACCACCGATTTTAGGCCCTTCCATTCAGATCCTTTCAGTGCTCTGGATTGCTCTGGCAATGCCCGAAACGCAAGAAGGAAAAACGAAGGCAAGCTAGCTTCGTTTTGAAGCTACACCTCCGGAAGCCTTAGCAGTTCAGCTGAATGAGTGCTGAAAAGCCACAACGAGTCGACGCTTAGCGCCGATCCCGCGTCAGCTCCAAAAACGTCCCCTCAAGACCCCTCGAGTTCCTTCAAGAAAGTATGTTCAAAATGAAGTCGGAAGCAACATACAATACAATCGCACGTTGCACACGGCAAGTTTCAAAACCCATTCCCTCATCGCATGCATTTGCATGCCCAAGCCCAAAAGTCTAGGCTCAGCAACGGTCTGCACCTGGGTCTGCGCCTGGGCTGCCAACAACTGCTGGTGGCCCAGAGGCAAGATCCCTCTTTTTCTGGTTTTCCTCCTCGCTGAACTTGTTATACCCGGACCGCCGGCCCATAAAGAAGCAGGCCAGACTGACAGCCACCACCAGAACCAAAGCGCCGCCCACAACGCCAAGAACGAGAGGCGTGCTGTCGTTGCTGGAAGTGGCGTCAGTGATCACTTCCACGCAGTTGAGCAGCTGCGCTTTCTCCAAGTCATAGTCCCAGCGTGGGGTGAGGTCAATGTCGCAGTAGGGCGCATCCTTCGGGAATAGGGAGTCAGCCACGGACGACTGGCCGTACAGCTCGTTTTCCACAATCTTGGCCTTGTTGATGGAATGCATGATCAGCCGTCGAAGCAGAATGTCGTCTGTGGGCGCCTGCGCTGCATTCATGACAATGATTTGGTTGAACAGGCGAGGGCCTAAGATGGTCCTGTGCGACACGGAGTGCTGCTTCTCCATTTCCTGCACTTGTTGAGGCGTAAGCACCTTGTCGCCGACTGCCACGTCCAGGCTGCCATCGAGCAGGGCCGCCTTCACTTGGTTGCTGTTGTTGTAGTTGACCACAATCATCTCCTGGACGTTGCCGGCCTCACCCCACCAATCGCTGTTCTTGATGAACTTGAGCTCTGCGATTGAGCCGTCAGCACGGTTGGTGGAACCCGCAAAGATCCAAGGTCCTGTGCCTGAGAAGTTTCGGATGCCCACGCATTGCACTGACACCCCTGAGTCTACGTCGGGCATGCTGCCATCACCATTGACATGGCCCCAGCGGGTTGGACATGAATTGTGAGTGATGGGACTCGTGCTGGGGCCGTTGGCAAAGCTCTCCGGCGAGAGAATGCGCAGGGGCCGGATTAGAGAGATCTCCTGCAAGAAAGGATAGTAAGGTGCATCCAGCATGACCTCGAAGACCTCACCGTCACAATCCCATGACGTTGCGTGCAGCGGCAGGTGGTACCAGCCATGGTACCAGTTGTGATTCAGAGGCGGCTGAAGAACGTGGTCGAAGTTCAGCTTCACAGCAGCGCAGTTGAAATCAACTCCATCGTGAAACTTAACGCCCGTCCTGAGCGTGAAGCGCCATCTCTGACCGCCGTCGGTGGTGTCGGTAAAGGTCCAGCTAGTCGCGAGGGCTGGGACTATTTCCCCATTTTCTCCATAATGCACGAGACCCTCGTAGATCCAGTTGCTGATGAAGAACTCGTTGGGCCGGTAGCTGTGCGGATCCATGGGGCCAGTTGTCACAAAGAGGCCCGTCTGTGCACCAGGCGCGACTCGGATGGTGGAGCTTCCCATGTCAACCATGAAGTTGTGCATGGGGTAATCGTACTGCTGATGTCCGGAGGTGTAGCCCTGCAGGCGTCGGCTCCAAATAGCTGGCACGCGGCGCGACCACATTGGGTTGGAGATGGCCTGCCGATGCATTTCCAGCAAGATCTCAGTCCACTTCTCCTGTCGTGCCTCCTCACTTTCCACAGACAGCACATTTGTCACCAAAGTCTCCATCTGGCTCATGGTCATTGGCGGCTCCATCTTCTGCATGGCCGCATAGTGCGCCTCGTTCTCCGGGCGGAACCATCCAGTGGCAAAGCTCTGCGGATCGTAAGGAGGACCCCACGACTCTGTGAAGCACAGGTTGAAGTCCCCCTCTTGCATGGCTGCGTTAAACTGCTCTTTCGGGAGAAATCTCGTGTTGACGGTGACGCCGACGGCAGCCAGATCGGTGACGATGTCGTCCTCAATCTGCGCCATGAGAGGGTCACCCTCAAGCACGATAAAGTCCAACGTGTGCTGCCTGCAAGTGCCTTCGACAGCCCAAGGCAGCATGGCACCAACTGCAAGAAGAGCCAGAAACGAGTTCATCATCTCTTGAAGAGCGAAGTTCGGCGAGTCCGCCGCTCTCGAGCCGGACAGGGCTTTCCAACGGCCAAAAGCTGCTTTTGGTTTGCATGAAGAGGCTTTTGCTCAGAGAAAACAGATCCCTTTCTGAAGAGATCTGCTGGATCTCGACAAGGCCGCTAGCCGCTAGATGTCAATAGCAGCTCTCTGATTTGCATGATGCCTTTCAGTAACTGTCGCATGACGAGTAGCATTGAACCTTAGACAGGATTTTATCCGGACTACTACAGGGACCCATTCCCATCTACGGTAAAGATGAATGAGTCTTTCGAATGCCATCGCGTGCCATGGCCATTGATGCGGCCAATGGAACTGTGCGAGAATCGTGGTCATAGAAATAATAACAGTAGTATTAATAACAGTATTGGTAATTGTAATAATAACAATTGTAGTAATAATAACAATAGCAGTAGTCATAATAATAACAGCAATAATAATACGGATACTACCTGCGGGGCTTCCTGCCTCAGAGCGTCCACTATGTCGGGGACAAATCCACACGTGTCCACATCCAAGTGCATGGCATGTGGGGGTTGCCCAAAATTGGGGTTATATTGGGCTAATGGAAAATAGAATGGAAACTACTGTTTAGGGTTAAGGGTTTAGGGTTTAGGGTTTCAAAATTAGGGGTACCATTATGGGGGTCCCTACAATAGGGATTTTATTATTTTGGGGTCTATATGGCGGTCCCCCTATTTAGGGAAACTACCATATTAACTTCAGAGACTGATTGTGAAGTTGCAACGTGCAATCACTTGACCATTAACACTCTGAGCTAGCCATGCACCTTGGACCCTGTGGTAAAAGGGTCCGGCGCATGAACAGCTCGAAAAAAACAACACAGGCCTCGATCATAGGAACAGCGAAGCAGCAACTGTTTGCTGTTGAGCTTAATGATTGCTGGTCGCACTCATGTTTGTGGGAACGGCACAGAAGCGCACCTCGTCTTCCTTCAGCCGGATCTCGAACAAACCTCGCTTGCGGCATACATCCTGCAGGATGCAAAGATGTACGAATTCCCCACCTAGGCCTCGAGCCTGAGCTTAGGGGATTTAGGGACCCATTGGGGTAAGACTAAGGTTATATTGGGGTTCTATACACGGGGATAATGAAATGAAAATGGAAACTACTATACTAGCTGAGCCAACCTCTTCCGGCTTCGCAGCTTTTACAGGCCACATCCCGGCCAGCACTGGTCCAGGACAGAGTCTGGGTTGCTGTTAAGGAATTTAAATCAAGTTACCATAATGGGTATATATAGTCAATAATAACCTAGTAACTTAATTTAAATTCCTTAACAGCAACCCAGGAGTGTGACAGAGCAAGTCCCAGGATTGTTGCTTGATGGGCGGCCAGTATTATTACTATTACTATTATTAGCATTATTATTGTCACTATTATTATTACTACTATTAGTATTACTACTACTTTTATTACTACTATTGGAATTCCTACCAATATTCTGAGATGGCCCCTAAAACCCTTTGAAAGATATTAGTATATAGGGTCCCTTATTACAGCCATTAGGGAACATATCAAATATCCCAGGGGCCTACCCAGTATTACTATTATGAATACTGTTAGTGATATTATTATTAGTAACATACGGGCGTTGAGATCAACCCCCCATCTGCGCGACTCAAGGCAAAACCCAAACCCTAAACCCTGAACCTTAAGCCCTAAATCCTGAAGCCTAACCACGAACCCTAAACCCTAAACCCCAAACCCCAAAAAAGGAAGGACATACAGGGTCCAGGTAGACCTCCGCTCTGGCAACGCAGTTTCCACTAGCAGCGATCGTGAGTGAACCCTTTTGGGCATGTGGAGTTAAGACAGGATTTAGGGTTCAGGCTTTAGGGTTCAGGGTTCAGGGTTCAGGGTTTAGGGTTTAGGGTTCAGGGTTTAATTCTTTTGAAAAATTCAGGTTTAGGGCTCTGGGCATCCAAGTCTATAGATAATGCCTACTTTGGGCCCTAGAGCCCATGATGTTTTCACATGAGGCTCAGCAGAAACGCCCAACCCCGGTGTGGCTGGGACAAATCTGAGGAATTCCAAACAAGTAGTCCTCCTTAAGTAGATAGAATAAGGTTTAGGGTTTTAGGGTTTAGGGTTGTAGTCCTCCTTAAGTAGATAGAATACGGCTTTGGGTATATTATAGTAAGATTCCCGCCATATACCCCATATTCTGTCCACTTAAAGAGACCATAGTCCTCCTTGTAAAGGGCCAACTGCTACCATCCTCATGATGTGGGCTTCCAAACACAGACCCGCAAGTTCTGAAAACATCAATCTAAAATCTATACTGTAACCCCGCTAGATCTATAATAAAAGTGCTACTGTTCTATAATCCCTTGGGGTATACTATATTGACAATGAAAAGACTCCTAGCAAGAGCACAGTATGGGTCCTAGATGCTTCGAGTGCTGGGTTTAGCCGTAAGGTTAAGATTTCTAGCTGAGGTTGGGATCGCGGGCCCTGACTACCGATATTCACAACCCTGCATGACCCTTGTATACTAGAATACCATAACTCGCAGTGTGGAAGGCACTTGGGGTCATGCAGCTTTTTTTAAATATCAACCATAATACCGGACCTTTGCGTTTTTCGGGGGGAAGTGGCAGGGCCCCTAAATGCACAAATGGAATGTGCACTAGGTAAAGTAGTAGGGCCCCAAGGTTAAGAAAAAGTCTACATTCGCGGCTCATACTAGAACGATGCCATAAATTCTATCTTAGCGACTGGTTCTATCTTCTACTTACGAAAGAAAGAAGCTTTTTCGTAGCAATACCATAAAATCTATCTCAGCGATTGGTTCTATCCCCTACTTACGGAGGAAAAAGGCCTTTTTGTAGCAATACAAGGAAGCCCAGACCTCTTAAAATCATCCCCTCCCCCCTAATATTAACCAATTTCCCAGATCCCTAAACTGGAGCTGAGCGTAGTCATCATTGTGTAGATGGGACCCATGAGTTCAGAATCCCATGCTACATCGCGATTCAATCCTTTTCTGTCGACTTAGTTCACGACTACTTCACATGTTAAGTCCTGTTTGCAAAAATATTAGGGGTCTGCAGATTGAATTATGTTGAGGCAAAGCCATTTGAGTAACTTTTTTTTGGTGGTTGAACCCAGTAAGATTATATTCCTTATATAAAATACCCCCAAAGGAGGATATAATCTTACTCTCTTACGCTATAATGGGTACCATAGTATCCCCAAATAAAATACTACTCATTTGTTGAATCTTGTTGCCGACATGTCAGCTGCAGCGGTTGGAGGTCTTTTCCGCAAAGTTGACGGACAGCTAGGATCTCGGAGCCACGCCGGCCGTACGTTTAAGCTTCATGGGGTTTGGAATTTTGTGATTCCGACCTTAAAGCCCTAAACTCCCTAAACCCTAAACCCTAAACCCCAAACCCTGAACCCCCTAAACATTGTCCTGAACAAGCTTTGGGGCTGTTCCTGCTTGATTCCTGGGGATGTCACGCTTTGAAGCTGTGAGCTTTGGGAGTTCAGGTGGGAAGCGGGGATGAGGTATTCAGTCTGCATGTGCTATAGGCTAAACTCCTCCAAGGGGGTTATATAGGGACTATATAAGGCCTACGCTGCGCGGGTATCCGGGGGGTTCAGGTTTGTGCATCGTGCATAGGAACCCTGTCACCGAAAGCTTGCGTAGCACGAAAGGCTTACTGGTGGTCAGTTGTGACTAAGGGAATTCAATCCCTGTATAATCCCGATATGTTCACAATAGAATCCCTATTTAACCCCCATATAACCCCTAAATATTCCAGATATAACCAATAGAGTTGTTCACTTTGTTCCTACCAACCCCCAGTAAGTATGAGCTTGCTAGCCTACGCCCTGAACACAATACGCCCTAAGGCCCAAACACTTCCGCAACCAAATCCTTATACGGGAAATCCTCAAAAGGGGTACCCTAATGGACCCTAGGAACACGTTTGCACCACAAGGGAGACAGTAGGCATCCTTCTTACTTGAGGATCATACAAGGGTCATGTTGAGAAAGGCCCATTTGAGTAATGGTTTCTTGGGTGGTTGAACCTAGTAAGATAATATTCCGTATATAAAAGACTATAACCCAAAAGGAGGATATAATCTTACTCTATATTGGGTACCATAATATCCCAAATAAAATACAACTCATTTGTCTGCCAGCGCCAAACCTTGTGCTTTGCACTTTAGACCTCCCACCCTTCGTTCCGAGCACTTAAGCATCGATATGAGCCATTGTCTAAACTTCTAGCATCCCCCTCAATAACCCCTATTGTAGTCCCCTAAATAGTCCCCTATATAACCTCCCATTAAGGAGTTTCGAATGTAGCTCATATAGAGACCTTAATGCCGGGCCTAAAGCAGCACAGGGTTTGGGAGCGAAATCTTATACACTTCTATAAAAGCTGAAAACAAAAATGTTGACTACTATTCAGGCTTCTACACTACCCTAAACAGCTAAACCCTAAACCCCTACACCCTAAGCCCCTAAACCCCTAAACCCTTTAAACCTAAACCCTAAGGATCTGGGTGCGGCCGACCCCGAGATGCCATGCGTCCACCCAGCATGCTTGTGACACTTAGTGCTGGATTGGGGCCGATTGGTACCTACTATAATGGAGAATTAAATGGAAGAGAACATGGAACATGAAATGGGAACTGTGCTTATACAGGAGGTTATAGGGATTAGGGTTTCCCAAAATTAGGGGTACCTTCTTTGGGGGTGCCAATATTAAGGATTATAGTATTTCGGGGTCTACAGTCAGAGCCGCTACCTAAGCCATAAACCCCGAACCCAAAAAAGGCAAAATAATGGCCAAAACTCGCTGGAAAAAGATGAGGCCCTCATTTTTCCGACTTGTGTGGCTTACACTCCTGGAAACTAACATGGAAACCCAAAAGGGGCCCTGTAAAGACTACAGTCCCTCTAAATTGGGGCCATATGGGTTTCCATG